GTTTCCCCACCCCATAGCCCCTCTCTCTTTCTTCCAATTCTAGTGCGGAAGGATGTTCATTTTAACGGAGTTAATCCGTCCTATCCAAGAGATGGGTTTGTCCGTCCATTTTTCCAGGTCTCTTGTCAACGCCCTTAGCATGGGAGTATAATTGGCAGAATATAGACATTCCGGGTTTGCTGTTAGGTGAATACCTAAGTATGTCAAGGAGTCTTTTTCCATCCAGATATTGTAAGTCTCCTGTATTCTAACTGTTTCTGCCTCCGTTAGGCCTACTGACATAGCGCTGGATTTGTGGATATTCGCTTTATATCCGGACACCTCCCCGTATTCTGTTATTACCTCCTGCAGTGCCGACATCGAAGCTGTCGGGTCTGTTATGGTCAGGAGGACATCGTCCGCATATGCCGAGACAGTAAATTCTTTATCTCCCACTCTGACTACTCTGATGTTTGGGTGTTTGCGTATCGCTTGTAACAAGGGTTCCAGCGCCAACACAAAGAGAAGAGGGGAAAGTGGGCACCCCTTTCTGGTACCATTGTATAGCCTAAATGGTTTCAGCGGGGTTCCCATTATCTGTACCTGTGCCCTCACTTTATGATACATCGCCCTTATGACAGTTATGTATTCCTCCGGGAAGTCCAGATGCTTCAACACTGAGAACAGAAATTGCCACCTAAGCCTGTCAAAGGGCTTTTCTGCATCGATGGATACAATCAGGGTGGGCGTTAAATAGTATATTTTAAAGTTATATACTTATTTATTTTTTTATCCACAATTTTACTTCCTGGTTACATCATATCCCTAGGTGGGGATCATACCACCTGAGCTGTATATACTGTACTAGAGCAAGTTTCTGATCTAGCAAATGTGAGTACTATACTTTTATTTTACTCTTTTAATTGATTGGTACATACTTCACCATTGGAGCTTTTTTCTGTTCTTATACTCATTGCATATGGCATTATATTTGGAACACCAGAAACACCTGTTGCCACATATATCCTTAGACGGGGATTGTTCTGTCCAGGAGAAATACGGTAGAGCTCCCAGTTAGCTCTACTAAATGAGTTTGAATATATATAATTATCTTAGCACTTCACCCAGGTCAACTGTGTATATAATTTGTGTACGTATATAATTTTACAATTTGACAATTATCATTTGGGGCGCGGTATCCTCCCCTTCCTTTTTATTAGGGCTGTTTGTGTAATATCAGTGTGTCACTGTGTCTGTGAGTGAGCATGTATGTCTGATAGTACTAGATGTGTGTTTGTGTAATATCAGTGTGTCACTGTGTCTGTGAGTGAGCATGTATGTCTGATAGTATTGTATGTGTGTTTGAAGGTGTAACTACATGTGTGCATGTAATGTGTGTGTAGCGGAGCGGCAATATTATATCCCACGATCTCCACTGTTTCAGAAGGTAATCCACAGTCAAGCGCTGAAAGCAAAGGCAATATCCCAAATCCCCCAGTAACCGGACGAAACACAGTTCTGAGAGTCAACTGAAGGCTTTATTCACAGGCTCCACAATTTATACAATTCCCCATGCAAGGGGTTTCCTGAGTCCTATCCCAGGGGTATTCCCAGAGTGGACTACGTGGGGAACTTACATTACAGAGCATTTCCCCCATCAGGCACTGCTGCACGAGAGCAGAACCAGCAATTTACTTTAAAATACACCGTTTTTCGAATGTTAGGTCTATTTGCACGAATGGACGTTCGGTAGATAGCTGGGGTCTGAGCACATCATTCGTGAGATTACCGCTCAGATCCCAGCTAAAACAACCGAACGCCGCACGAAAAACATATTCATTAAAACACACACTTTAAAAGACTGATTGATGTATAGGGAATAAAATACAGAACGGCCCGGAACTCCCGAACGGCCTGGAAGTCCAGCGGTGTTCATGCCGTCGAATAGCCGTTTTTAGTACCACGTGCTCGACGACCAAACACCTCTGGGGAACAAAGGATCCAAGATGGCCGACCGCCTCATGGTCGGTAGCCGAACAACGGCCACCTTGGAGAGCATCTAATTACCGATTGCAACATTGTTGCAATCGGTTAACGAGCGCCACACGTCTCTCAATGTGTGGGCTGTTACAGGTTGGTTATTTCGGTTCACGAACGGCCCGCAAAGGTGCCGTTCGTGAAACAAAAGGGAATCAGCTATCTGCAGTTTCGCTTTGTGGCGATCCCCCCTCTTACCTACCCGCTGACATACATCACAGGAGGTACAGTAGTGCCTCACATCTTTAGAAATCCCCTGCCAGAAGAAAGCGTGGGTTAGGCGGTAACGGATACGGGTCATCCCCAAATGGCCAGAAAGAGGGATGTCATGAGCTATTCTCAGTAGCTCGGGTCTATATTTCTGGGGAACTACCAGCTGTTTGGTCTTTACTGTAACTGAGCTCCCTATCGTCCTTTCGGCTATCCGGTACAACAGTTTGTTTTCCCAAATATACCGCTCCCCCTCCCGCCCGGCCTGGTCAGTGTCTACCCTATCCCTGTACACCTGCAATGTGGGGTCTGTCTGGACCTCGGCTTCAAAGGTGGTCGGGGTGTCCCAGGTCATACGAGTCGAGGGTGAGTCATGGTCTCTTACCTGAGCCTCAGAGTGTGCTGGTGGAACCGTGGTGCGAGCCTGTTGCCGGGTAGTCACCGGATGTGCCTCTTGCGAACAGGCCTGAGGTATAAATGCGGATGTCATCTGGCCCAAGTCATTCCCCAATACAACGTCTGCAGGCAACTTTTTCATCATAGCCACTTCCACGACCCCCTTCCCAGCACCCCAGTTCAAATGTACCTTAGCGGTGGGTAGGCGGTACATGGCTCCCCCCGCCACTCGGACTGCCACAGATCCGCCAGTGTGTGCTGTATCCGGGACCAAATGAGGAGCGACAAGGGTTAAGGTGGCTCCCGAGTCCCGTAGCCCCTGTACTTCTTTCACCCCCCCACAATTCCCCATGCAAGGGGTTTCCTGAGTCCTATCCCAGGGGTATTCCCAGAGTGGACTACATGGGGAACTTACATTACAGAGCCTTTCCCCCATCAGGCACTGCTGCACGAGAGGGATCCTCCCACTGGAATGTGCCGTTAAGTGGATTATCCCTCCGTGCAGCAGAACCGGCAATTTACCTTAAAAAAACACAGTTTTTCGAATGTTAGGTCTATTTGCACGAATGGACGTTCGGTAGATAGCTGGGGTCTGAGCGCATCATTCGTGAGATTACCGCTCAGATCCCAGCTAAAACAACCGAACGCTGCACGAAAAACATATTCATTAAAACACACACTTTAAAAGACCGATTGATGTATTGGGAATAAAATACCGAACGGCCCGGAACTCCCGAACGGCCTGGAAGTGCAGCGGTGTTCGCGCCGTTGAGTAGCCGTTTTTAGTACCATGCGCTCGACGACCAAACACCGCTGGGGAACAAAGGATCCAAGATGGCCGACCGCCGCATGGTCGGTAGCCGAATGACGGCCACCTTGGAGAGCCTCTAATTACCGATTGCAACATTGTTGTAATCGGTTAACTAGCGCCACACGTCTCTCAATGTGTGGGCTGTTACAGGGTGGTTATTTCGGTTCACAAACGGCCCGCAAAGGTGCCGTTGATGAAACGAAAGGGAATCGGCTATCTGCTTTTGGCAGATAGCCAATGCAGGCAATACAAAGCTACACAATCGTATTACATTATACCCAGAAACACACATAACACGAAAATCATACGGGCAACCCTTAAAGCGATAGTACTTAAATAATGTCCAAGTGGCTAGGTTTGCCACAGTGTGTTACTGTATAAGTAGTGTTGTATGCATTTGTGTAATCTATAAATAAATATTGTTTGACTAAGTATTAACACATGTCGCCCATATAAAAAACATGTCATCCCTTAAACGCCTGCATTTATTTGAGATCAGACCCCATAAACCACATTCAGAGGTTCTTAGTGAGTTGACAAATAGTTTTTTTACGTCTCTCCGTTTCTTTGGTGTGTATCTATATTACTCCCCAAAACACCCCATTTTCTGCTTTGTTTAATATGTTTTGTGTATTGAATACCCACAGCATCTGGAATGACAAATATTGGTAACCCACCTTGAGTGAAGTGAAGCAAACACAATCTCAAGCACGCACAGACACATATACCCAAACAATGTCATTGACACATGCACATATTTACAAACACAGACACAGGGACAGACACACACATGCACCCAAACAGACATACACACACAATCGGGCTTCTTTTTTAGCACACCACCAGAACATATTTGTTGTTGGCTGCCTGAGGTTGATGTGAGTCACACTCACAAATTACATTGGTTACTTGTGGTTGCCATAATTAATTAAGTCTCTCTTTCATTAGTGGGCTGGACTGGGGACACAATATATCAATCTCAAGGTCAAGAAAAGGGACCCCACAAAGTCATGTCCCTATGAGTTATGCCATCCCTATATTTCACAGTGTGATGTCATATCGCGCACTATGGTATTTCAAAACATTGTCTGTCCTTTGAAATACCAGGAAGATGACAATAAATATAGACATATATGATATTTTTATTTTCATGCAATACCTCAATATTTACAGAGAGTGAAGACTCAGCCCTGGCAGTTCTGCTAAGTTCAGGCAGGTACCCTGATTTACTCATTGACCCACAAAAAGAAGGTATTAACAGAACAGTAAATTGCTTTATATTTATTGTTAATTCTGCAGACAGTTTGCCAATCTCAGGGTAGTAATACTTATGGAGATGTTATGCATCTAAGAAAATATTAAAAATAATAGAAGTATAAAAATAATATTATTAATGTCCAATTATTTTTTCCATGAGAGTACAGCTAGCTTTCACTGGTCTTCAGGTTTGTACAGGTACGTCGGAGTTAAAATCACAAGGTTACACATTCTGTCCAGGTTTAACCAGTTCAGGCCTTTCCTCCGATGTCTTGTTATTATCTCGCCCCAACTCGGGGTACAGGGGAATTCAGTTAGTCCCGATAATATTATTAGGGTGTCCGTTGTGGTTGGATATTGTAGATGGATCTTTGGGTTCTGGGAAATCACAGAGATGAGTTTCTGATGAGAGTTAAGAAGAGACCCAGACACAGAGCCAGGATGGCATAGCTGGACTTCACGCTGGTGGCCCCGCTTGTGTTACACAGGTCAGTGCTGCAGCATGACACGGAAGTCGAAACAATCAGAACATTCAAACTGCTTGCCACGCAGACGGACTCACAGGATTTGGAAATGGTGGCCGCAGACAGACTACCAATGGGAATAACACAAAGTACTTTAACTCTGGGAGAGGGAAAGGGCAGAATAGGAAAGGAAGAAAGTCTATGTTATGTTTGACTCTTACCGATTCCCCCAGAAACCACCGAGGTCTTGCAGTAAGTACTGGCTGCCGTGCAGTTGGTCGCAGTCATACAGTTGGTGTTACTGGCCTGGTCTGTACACGTGTAACACTGTAATGCAAAGCCTAGAAATAAAAATGCCTAATGTGAGTTAATCCAGAACCAGAAAAGGCAAACAGCTATAAAAAGGGTAGTAGATACATGGAATAGCCTTCCAGTGGGAGCAGTAACAGTGATATAAAAAGGGTAGTAGATACATGGAATAGCCTTCCAGTGGGAGCAGTAACAGTGATATAGAAAGGGTAGTAGATACCTGGAAAAGCCTTCCAGTGGGAGCGGTAACAGTGATATAGAAAGGGTAGTAGATACCTGGAATAGCCTTCCAGTGGGAGCGGTAACAGTGATATAGAAAGGGTAGTAGATACCTGGAATAGCCTTCCAGTGGGAGCGGTAACAGTGATATAGAAAGGGTAGAAAATACCTGGACTAGCCTTCCAGTGGGAGCAGTAACAGTGATATAGAAAGGGTAGTAGATACCTGGAATAGCCTTCCAGTGGGAGCAGTAACAGTGATATAGAAAGGGTAGTAGATACCTGGAATAGCCTTCCAGTGGGAGCAGTAACAGTGATATAGGAAGGGTAGTAGGTACATGGAATAGCCTTCCAGTGGGAGCAGTAACAGTGATATAGAAAGGGTAGTAGGTACCTGGAATAGCCTTCCAGTGGGAGCAGTAACAGTGATATAGAAAGGGTAGTAGATACCTGGAATAGCCTTCCAGTGGGAGCAGTAACAGTGATATAGAAAGGGTAGTAGATACCTGGAATAGCCTTCCAGTGAGAGCAGTAACAGTGTGATATAGAAAGGGTAGTAGATACCTGGAATAGCCTTCCAGTGGGAGCAGTAACAGTGATATAGAAAGGGTAGTAGATACCTGGAATAACCTTCCAGTGGGAGCAATAACAGTGATATAGAAAGGGTAGTAGATACCTGGAATAGCCTTCCAGTGGGAGCAATAACAGTGATATAGAAAGGGTAGTAGATACCTGGAATAGCCTTCCAGTGGGAGCAGTAACAGTGATATAGAAAGGGTAGTAGATACCTGGAATAGCCTTCCAGTGGGAGCAGTAACAGTGATATAGAAAGGGTAGTAGAATAGTAGCAGTAACAGTGATATAGAAAGGGTAGTAGATACCTGGAATAGCCTTCCAATAGAAGCAGTAAAGGCTAACAGTGATATAGAAAGGGTAGAACATACCTGGACTAGCCTTCCAGTGGGGGCAGTAATAGTGATATAGAAAGGGTAGTAGATACCTGGAATAGCCTTCCAGTGGGAGCAGTAACAGCGATAGAGAAAGGGTAGTAGATACCTGGAATAGCCTTCCAGTGGGAGCAGTAACAGTGATATAGAAAGGGTAGTAGATACCTGGAATAGCCTTCCAAGTGGGAGCAATAGCCTAAGCAGTAACAGTGATATAGAAAGGGTAGTAGATACCTGGAATAGCCTTCCAGTGGGAGCAGTAACAGTGATATAGAAAGGGTAGTAGATACCTGGAATAGCCTTCCAGTGGGAGCAGTAACAGTGATATAGAAAGGGTAGTAGATACCTGGAATAGCCTTCCAGTGGGAGCAGTAACAGTGATATAGAAATGGTAGTAGATACCTGGAATAGCCTTCCAGTGGGAGCAGTAACAGTGATATAGAAAGGGTGGTACATGGAATATTCTAATGGTGGAAGTAGTAAAGGTAAAGTGTCGCCAATATTTACGATTTAGTACAAAATAAATAAATAAGATTGCTGAGAGGAAGGCGGATGAAGTTGGTATGGCTGAAAACGTTTCTGAATATCTCACACCACTGATACAATGTTACAGATAAAGGCCAAGAAAGTCCGGCATAACAGAAATCGCCAGGAATTATATCATCACAGCCTAATCTGATGGAAATACTATAAATGGACATGGACAGAATATGATGAAAAATCAAAGTGTCCGATCTTACCTGTCCCTGTGCAGAGGGCAGTCAGCAGGAAGATGGCTTTCAAGGTGTCCATGATGGGTGAACGAGGACCAGTGGACATATTGAAAGCCAGAAGCTTCTTATATAGGGGTGTTTTAGACAGTTGGTTTCTACCAAGTCAATGGGATTCCCACCCAGAAACATGTCTCCTATTCAGGAAAACCCAGCCTGCAGCTACCTACCTGTTTATCAAGATTGTCCTGATGTAATTGTATAGAGACAAGACCATCATCCTCCCTGGAGACAGAACAAGTATTGCTTGCTCTTTGATCCCAGGTTGTCCTGTGTCTCTGGGATAGAGATCTCCATAATGTAAGGCTGTCCCATGGCATTTCTTGTTAGACACTAGGATTAAGAGATTTACACAAAACAAGTTTATCTTCTTAAAATGGAAAGAACTCTGTGTGCAATGGTGGACATTATCTCCCCCCTTAACATGAAGGACATTGGATGGAGTTACTGAGTGAGCCCTAGGTTGGTGTTAAATAAATTGCTGAAAACACCATTAATTGTAGATACCACCTGCTGGGGTGTCATTTATGGCCCAAAATCACTTGAATAAGATTTTTGGGATGAGCCTGTCAGTTTACGCAACACAGGTCACGTTCTGAATATTTTTGTTTTAACGTCTCAGAATTCATCGTGTAACACAGCTTTAGGTTGTGATAAATTGGATTTTCTTGTAAGATGTGCACAGCTGATGTCTTACACACTGTGTGAAAACCATTAATAAATATGGAGAATAGAACGGGGGTCTAAAACGGAGACTCAAGAAGATGAACACTAAGTCTTGACTTAATATTCTGGTGTAAGCTTTTCAAATGATCACAATTTGTTACAATAATCTTTCAAATGATTTACTGTATCTACAAAACTTCCCATAGAATATAATGGAATCTGTAGATTAAAATGTATCAGTAGTGACATTGTAACACTGTTATCTGTCATAAATCTCTGAATCACATCTCACATTCTTTTAAAGTAGACAACCCAGGGTATTCAATATGGGGTATATCCAGTCTTTTTAGTAGCCACTTCGTCACAAACACTGGCCAAAGTTAGCATTTATATTTGTGTTAAAATGCAAAAACAATTATGAACGCTAACTTTGGCCAGTGTTTGTACGAATGGACGTTCGGTAGATAGCTGGGGTCTGAGCGCATCATTCGTGAGATTACCGCTCAGATCCCAGCTAAAACAACCGAACGCTGCACGAAAAACATATTCATTAAAACACACACTTTAAAAGACCGATTGATGTATTGGGAATAAAATACCGAACGGCCCGGAACTCCCGAACGGCCTGGAAGTGCAGCGGTGTTCGCGCCGTTGAGTAGCCGTTTTTAGTACCATGCGCTCGACGACCAAACACCGCTGGGGAACAAAGGATCCAAGATGGCCGACCGCCGCATGGTCGGTAGCCGAATGACGGCCACCTTGGAGAGCCTCTAATTACCGATTGCAACATTGTTGTAATCGGTTAACTAGCGCCACACGTCTCTCAATGTGTGGGCTGTTACAGGGTGGTTATTTCGGTTCACAAACGGCCCGCAAAGGTGCCGTTGATGAAACGAAAGGGAATCGGCTATCTGCTTTTGGCAGATAGCCAATGCAGGCAATACAAAGCTACACAATCGTATTACATTATACCCAGAAACACACATAACACGAAAATCATACGGGCAACCCTTAAAGCGATAGTACTTAAATAATGTCCAAGTGGCTAGGTTTGCCACAGTGTGTTACTGTATAAGTAGTGTTGTATGCATTTGTGTAATCTATAAATAAATATTGTTTGACTAAGTATTAACACATGTCGCCCATATAAAAAACATGTCATCCCTTAAACGCCTGCATTTATTTGAGATCAGACCCCATAAACCACATTCAGAGGTTCTTAGTGAGTTGACAAATAGTTTTTTTACGTCTCTCCGTTTCTTTGGTGTGTATCTATATTACTCCCCAAAACACCCCATTTTCTGCTTTGTTTAATATGTTTTGTGTATTGAATACCCACAGCATCTGGAATGACAAATATTGGTAACCCACCTTGAGTGAAGTGAAGCAAACACAATCTCAAGCACGCACAGACACATATACCCAAACAATGTCATTGACACATGCACATATTTACAAACACAGACACAGGGACAGACACACACATGCACCCAAACAGACATACACACACAATCGGGCTTCTTTTTTAGCACACCACCAGAACATATTTGTTGTTGGCTGCCTGAGGTTGATGTGAGTCACACTCACAAATTACATTGGTTACTTGTGGTTGCCATAATTAATTAAGTCTCTCTTTCATTAGTGGGCTGGACTGGGGACACAATATATCAATCTCAAGGTCAAGAAAAGGGACCCCACAAAGTCATGTCCCTATGAGTTATGCCATCCCTATATTTCACAGTGTGATGTCATATCGCGCACTATGGTATTTCAAAACATTGTCTGTCCTTTGAAATACCAGGAAGATGACAATAAATATAGACATATATGATATTTTTATTTTCATGCAATACCTCAATATTTACAGAGAGTGAAGACTCAGCCCTGGCAGTTCTGCTAAGTTCAGGCAGGTACCCTGATTTACTCATTGACCCACAAAAAGAAGGTATTAACAGAACAGTAAATTGCTTTATATTTATTGTTAATTCTGCAGACAGTTTGCCAATCTCAGGGTAGTAATACTTATGGAGATGTTATGCATCTAAGAAAATATTAAAAATAATAGAAGTATAAAAATAATATTATTAATGTCCAATTATTTTTTCCATGAGAGTACAGCTAGCTTTCACTGGTCTTCAGGTTTGTACAGGTACGTCGGAGTTAAAATCACAAGGTTACACATTCTGTCCAGGTTTAACCAGTTCAGGCCTTTCCTCCGATGTCTTGTTATTATCTCGCCCCAACTCGGGGTACAGGGGAATTCAGTTAGTCCCGATAATATTATTAGGGTGTCCGTTGTGGTTGGATATTGTAGATGGATCTTTGGGTTCTGGGAAATCACAGAGATGAGTTTCTGATGAGAGTTAAGAAGAGACCCAGACACAGAGCCAGGATGGCATAGCTGGACTTCACGCTGGTGGCCCCGCTTGTGTTACACAGGTCAGTGCTGCAGCATGACACGGAAGTCGAAACAATCAGAACATTCAAACTGCTTGCCACGCAGACGGACTCACAGGATTTGGAAATGGTGGCCGCAGACAGACTACCAATGGGAATAACACAAAGTACTTTAACTCTGGGAGAGGGAAAGGGCAGAATAGGAAAGGAAGAAAGTCTATGTTATGTTTGACTCTTACCGATTCCCCCAGAAACCACCGAGGTCTTGCAGTAAGTACTGGCTGCCGTGCAGTTGGTCGCAGTCATACAGTTGGTGTTACTGGCCTGGTCTGTACACGTGTAACACTGTAATGCAAAGCCTAGAAATAAAAATGCCTAATGTGAGTTAATCCAGAACCAGAAAAGGCAAACAGCTATAAAAAGGGTAGTAGATACATGGAATAGCCTTCCAGTGGGAGCAGTAACAGTGATATAAAAAGGGTAGTAGATACATGGAATAGCCTTCCAGTGGGAGCAGTAACAGTGATATAGAAAGGGTAGTAGATACCTGGAAAAGCCTTCCAGTGGGAGCGGTAACAGTGATATAGAAAGGGTAGTAGATACCTGGAATAGCCTTCCAGTGGGAGCGGTAACAGTGATATAGAAAGGGTAGTAGATACCTGGAATAGCCTTCCAGTGGGAGCGGTAACAGTGATATAGAAAGGGTAGAAAATACCTGGACTAGCCTTCCAGTGGGAGCAGTAACAGTGATATAGAAAGGGTAGTAGATACCTGGAAAAGCCTTCCAGTGGGAGCAGTAACAGTGATATAGAAAGGGTAGAAAATACCTGGACTAGCCTTCCAGTGGGAGCAGTAACAGTGATATAGAAAGGGTAGTAGATACCTGGAATAGCCTTCCAGTGGGAGCAGTAACAGTGATATAGAAAGGGTAGTGGATACCTGGAATAGCCTTCCAGTGGGCGCAGTAACAGTGTTATAGAATGGGCAGTAGATACCTGGAATAGCCTTCCAGTGGGAGCAGTAACAGTGATATAGAAAGGGTAGTAGATACCTGGAATAGCCTTCCAGTGGGAGCAGTAACAGTGATATAGAAAGGGTAGTAGATACCTGGAATAGCCTTCCAGTGGGAGCAGTAACAGTGATATAGAAAGGGTAGTAGATACCTGGAATAGCCTTCCAGTGGGAGCAGTAACAGTGATATAGAAAGGGTAGTAGATACCTGGAATAGCCTTCCAGTGGGAGCAGTAACAGTGATATAGAAAGGGCAGTAGGTACCTGGAATAGCCTTCCAGTGGGAGCAGTAACAGTGATATAGAAAGGGTAGTAGATACCTGGAATAGCCTTCCAGTGGGAGCAGTAACAGTGATATAGAAAGGGCAGTAGGTACCTGGAATAGCCTTCCAGTGGGAGCAGTAACAGTGATATAGAAAGGGTAGTAGATACCTGGAATAGCCTTCCAATAGAAGCAGTAAAGGCTAACAGTGATATAGAAAGGGTAGAACATACCTGGACTAGCCTTCCAGTGGGGGCAGTAATAGTGATATAGAAAGGGTAGTAGATACCTGGAATAGCCTTCCAGTGGGAGCAGTAACAGCGATAGAGAAAGGGTAGTAGATACCTGGAATAGCCTTCCAGTGGGAGCAGTAACAGTGATATAGAAAGGGTAGTAGATACCTGGAATAGCCTTCAAGTGGGAGCAGTAACAGTGATATAGAAAGGGTAGTAGATACCTGGAATAGCCTTCCAATGGGAGCAGTAACAGCGATAGAGAAAGGGTAGTAGATACCTGGAATAGCCTTCCAGTGGGAGCAGTAACAGTGATATAGAAAGGGTAGTAGATACCTGGAATAGCCTTCCAGTGGGAGCAGTAACAGTGATATAGAAATGGTAGTAGATACCTGGAATAGCCTTCCAGTGGGAGCAGTAACAGTGATATAGAAAGGGTGGTACATGGAATATTCTAATGGTGGAAGTAGTAAAGGTAAAGTGTCGCCAATATTTACGATTTAGTACAAAATAAATAAATAAGATTGCTGAGAGGAAGGTGGATGAAGTTGGTATGGCTGAAAACGTTTCTGAATATCTCACACCACTGATACAATGTTACAGATAAAGGCCAAGAAAGTCCGGCATAACAGAAATCGCCAGGAATTATATCATCACAGCCTAATCTGATGGAAATACTATAAATGGACATGGACAGAATATGATGAAAAATCAAAGTGTCCGATCTTACCTGTCCCTGTGCAGAGGGCAGTCAGCAGGAAGATGGCTTTCAAGGTGTCCATGATGGGTGAACGAGGACCAGTGGACATATTGAAAGCCAGAAGCTTCTTATATAGGGGTGTTTTAGACAGTTGGTTTCTACCAAGTCAATGGGATTCCCACCCAGAAACATGTCTCCTATTCAGGAAAACCCAGCCTGCAGCTACCTACCTGTTTATCAAGATTGTCCTGATGTAATTGTATAGAGACAAGACCATCATCCTCCCTGGAGACAGAACAAGTATTGCTTGCTCTTTGATCCCAGGTTGTCCTGTGTCTCTGGGATAGAGATCTCCATAATGTAAGGCTGTCCCATGGCATTTCTTGTTAGACACTAGGATTAAGAGATTTACACAAAACAAGTTTATCTTCTTAAAATGGAAAGAACTCTGTGTGCAATGGTGGACATTATCTCCCCCCTTAACATGAAGGACATTGGATGGAGTTACTGAGTGAGCCCTAGGTTGGTGTTAAATAAATTGCTGAAAACACCATTAATTGTAGATACCACCTGCTGGGGTGTCATTTATGGCCCAAAATCACTTGAATAAGATTTTTGGGATGAGCCTGTCAGTTTACGCAACACAGGTCATGTTCTGAATATTTTTGTTTTAACGTCTCAGAATTCGTCGTGTAACACAGCTTTAGGTTGTGATAAATTGGATTTTCTTGTAAGATGTGCACAGCTGATGTCTTACACACTGTGTGAAAACCATTAATAAATATGGAGAATAGAACGGGGGTCTAAAACGGAGACTCAAGAAGATGAACACTAAGTCTTGACTTAATATTCTGGTGTAAGCTTTTCAAATGATCACAATTTGTTACAATAATCTTTCATGATTTACCGTATCTACAAAACTTCCCATAGAATATAATGGAATCTGTAGATTAAAATGTATCAGTAGTGACATTGTAACACTGTTATCTGTCATAAATCTCTGAATCACATCTCACATTCTTTTAAAGTAGACAACCCAGGGTATTCAATATGGGGTATATCCAGTCTTTTTAGTAGCCACTTCGTCACAAACACTGGCCAAAGTTAGCATTTATATTTGTGTTAAAATGCAAAAACAATTATGAACGCTAACTTTGGCCAGTGTTTGTGACGAAGTGGCTACTAACAAAGACTGGAAATACCCCATTTGCAATGCCTTGGGTTGTCTTATTTTGCAAATGGTATGCCATCATGGGGGTAATTCTCATTCCTCGGCTACCATACGCTCTCAAAGGCTAAAAAAAACAACCTGGCAATTTTCAATGTGCAAAAAACAGAAAATCAAGCCTTATATTTGACCCTATAATGTTCAAAAACGTTATACTCCCCAGACTGGGAGTAACACCGATCGCTGGTGGGGGAACGGCGGTGATCGGTAAGTAATTTATTTGCCGTGGACACACAAGGTACATCCACGGTACTTAAGGAGTTAATATTTATGTATAAAATATTTCAAAATGTATTTATTGCTTATCAAAAAATATTAAATAGTTTGAAAATCTTATCCAAATATATTAAATGAAGACCAAAGCAGTCATTAAATGAATTTGCTATATCTGCAATACACTGCAATCGTTCGATCTTTGCTCCCATATCTGCCATAAATTGCAATCGTTCAATCTCCACTCCCATAAATTGCAATCGTTCAATCTCCGCTCCATTATCTGCCATACATTGCAATCATAAAATATCTGCTCCCATATCTGCCATACATTGCAATCGTTCAATCTCCACTCCCATATCTGCAATACATTGCAATCATTCAGTCTCCGCTCCCATATCTGCCATAAATTGCAATCGTTCAATCTCCTCCCAGAAATTGCAATCGTTCAATCTCCGCTCCCATATCTGCCATACATTGCAATCGTTCAATCTCCGCTCCCATATCTGCCATACATTGCAATCATTCAATCTCCGCTCCCATATCTGCCATACATTGCAAACGTTCGATGTCCGTTCCCATATCTGCCATACATTGCAATCATTTGATCTCCGCTCCCATATCTGCAATACGTTGCAAACGTTCGATCTCCGCTCCCATATCTGCCATACATTGCAAACGTTCAATCTCCGCTCCCATACCTGAAATACATTGCAATCGTTCAATCTCTGCTCCCATATCTGCCATACATTGCAATCGTTCGATCTCCACTCCCATATCTGACATATATTGCAATCGTTCAATCTCTGCTCCCATATCTGCAATACATTGCAATCGTTCAATCTCCGCTCCCATATCTGCCATACATTGCAATCGTTCAATCTCCGCTCCCATATCTGCCATGCATTGCAATCGTTCGATCTCCACTCCCATATCTACCATACATTGCAAACGTTCGATGTCTGTTCCCATATCTGCAATACATTGCAATCGTTCAACCTACGCTCCCATATCTGCAATACATTGCAATCGTTCAATTTCAGCTCCCATATCTGCAATACATTGCAAACGTTCAATCTCCGCTCCCATATCTGCAATACATTGCAATCGTTCAATCTCCGCTCCCATATCTGCAATACATTGCAATCGTTCAATCTCCGCTCCCATATCTGCAATACATTGCAATCGTTCAATCTCTGCTCCCATATCTGTAGGCTGTGGCTGGTTTGAAGGTTGGAGAGATTCACATTATTTTTCTAGAAAATGGTTTATTAGGATAGGTCACTGTGCAAGTTTTATGGAAAATGCTTTTTGAGTGTAAATCTGTTTAATGGTCGACCCATGAATATGAGCTATTGATATGAAATATAATGAAGGTTAGCATCGAATTGTATCAATGTTTTTGGCAGAGATCAGGCCACACAATTCATAAAATCCAGAAATAGAGATTATTAGACAGATAATCCTCGCAAGCTGTATAACCGGTTCATATACTGAACAGACCATCACACACATTCCAGGTGTGAACTGAACTCACGGCTATTGGCGTATGGAAGCAACCGTTTCTGTTCTGTAAGGTTACCATGGAAATCAAAACTAAGGTCAAACCGAGTGCCCACAGCATCGCAAAGGACTCAGGTGTTGGGCTGGGACCGTCCCGGGGGGACACTGACGGAGACCCGGCGCCCCGGGTGGCGCACCACGGCCAAACCATGAGGGGCCCTTATCGGACAGACATTACAATTGGCTCTGCTCCTACACCGTTATAGTTATTATAGTTATTTGTCTATGCATTCCCTAATACCGCATGCCAGAAATATGACACGCCATGAGCCACCAATACACTATACATAATTGGTTAATTGAAGCGATATGGGATGACAATGGCGGTAAAAGTCGCTTACCACTGCGCACACGACAACCCTACTCCTTAGGTTAAAAACTTGACAGATACTATTTCTTAATGGGTCTACCACTAATTACATATGCGGTGTTATCTATATGACCCAAGAGATGTTATTAACAAGTTACTTACAGAATCATCTAGTAATCCACAGATTCATTATGTTACCATTATCAGTTAATACATAAAGATTACTTAGGGGCTTTTATTCATGTTCATAGTTAATGCCGTTTTAATGCAAACAAGTTTTCAAGGGATAGCTCGCACTAGTGCCTTAACAGCTGCATTTAGTCCGTATCTATTTTGCTTATATGATGCTGTTTCTGAATTACCAAAGGAACGGGCAGTTAACGCTAAAATGCCCAAAGGGGCCATAGGTAGCTACTGCTGCATATTAGATCACTGACTGCCACATGATAGACGGTACAGTCGCTTCTTGATTTAAACCTGATATCCAAATAGCTCTATTATCTATTAAGGCAGCAGACTGCAAACAAATATGCCCCTTATGCTGAAAATTGAAAAAGTTTTTGTATCTTAGATTGTTCCTTCATGCCTGACTCTACTTAGCAAGCTGATTAATATGCCTCTACACAGGAGACAATGTGCATTCACCAACTAGCCAACACGCAGCACTGACATACACTAATTAACATAAAACAATTACCTAACGCAATAATTGAACCAATAAGGCAATACGGTACATAAGAGCATACAACACAAAGCAACCACCTGTGAACAAAAACTCAGGTTAAGACAATTCCGCTCCTACGCAGGCAACTAAAGGTATATGCAATGTTAAACTAATATCTGAGCCCCTGCGTGGGCAATCACTTGCTTTACTACAAATCCATTTGATGTATGACTTTATATTGTGCACACAATAAAAATATTCAACACAAACTAAGGTCAAAACCACTTCAGCTGTAACCGGCTGGGGCAGATTAACGCAGGGACTGGGGGCAGATTAACAGAAACTCCAGTTTTGCAAACTCTGGCATGTATTTCTAACATTAAAGCTTTTTATCATAACAATTTGGATTTTGGCTGCCTTCATGTATCTATTAAATAAAGAATTACTCATATTGATTAGCACACTGCGCTGCCTCAGCAAATGACCTCAGCAAATGCAATGCTTCTCTGTAGAGGAACATCGAGGGCCGTCCGCACGTGGGGTAAACACCATGCTGCAACAAACAATACAATAAATACAATACAATAGTATTATAACAAGGTGTTTCTATCTGAGCATTCAGCATCTCTACGGGAGCATATGACCCAACACTAATAGCTATTTGATGGGCAAATTCAGTGTTTACACATGAGAAGCCGCTTGTTAGTCCACCCATTGTAACGCAATAGAGAATTTGTTGGCGCTGTATAAATATTATAATAATAATTATAATAATAATCTGCACCAATATCACTGCACTAAGCTGTGGTGGTTATGGTGCTTAGGGTGTATGATAACAGTAGGGCTTCTGGGCCAGATTAATGTAGGGTCCGATTAATGTAGGGGCCAATTAATGTAGGACAGATTAAGGTAGGAGCCAATTAATGTAGGGGTTAGATTAATGTAGGGGTCAGATTAACGTAGGGGCCGATTAATGTAGGGGCCAGATTAATGTAGGGGCTAATTAATGTAGGGGCCAAATTAACATAGGGGACGATTAATGTAGGAGCCACATTAACGTAGGAGCAAGATTAACGTAGGGGCTGATTAATGTAGGGGCATGTAGGGGCCAGATTAATGTAGGGGCTGATTAATGTAGGGTAGATTAATGTAGGAGCCAGATTAATGTAGGAGCCAGATTAACGTAGGGGTTGATTAATGTAGGGGCTGATTAATGTAGGGGCGGATTAAAAGGGGCCAGATTAATGTAGGGGCTGATTAATGTAGGGGCAGATTAATGTAGGGGCCAGATTACTATAGGGGCCAGATTAACGTAGGAGCAAGATTAATGTAGGGGCTGGTTAATGTAGGAGCCAGATTAATGTAGGGGCTGATTAACGTTGGGGCTGATTAATGTACGAGCCGGATTAATGTAGGGGCCAGATTAACGTAGGGGCTGATTAACGTAGGGGCTGGTTAATGTAGGAGCCAGATTAACGTAGGGGCTGATTAATGTAGGGGCTGGTTAATGTAGGGGCCAGATTAACATAGGGGCTGATTAATGTAGGGGCAGATTAATGTAGGGGCCAAATTAATGTAGGGGCCAGATTAATGTAGGGGCAGATTAAAGTAGGGGCCAGATTACTGTAGGGGCCAGATTAACGTAGGAACCAGATTAATGTAGGGGCTGATGAATGTAGGGGCTGGTTAATGTAGGGGCCAGATTAACGTAGGGGCTGATTAATGTAGGGGCCAGATTAACGTAGGGGCCAGATTAACGTAGGGGCAGATTAATGTAGTAGCCAGATTAACATAGGGGCTGATTAACGTAGGGGCAGATTAATGTAGGGGCCAGATTAACGTAGGGGCAGATTAATGTAGGGGCCAGATTAATGTAGGTGCTGATTAATGTAGGGGCAGATTATTGTAGGGGCCAATTAATGTAGTGCTGATTAATGTAGGTACAGATTATTGTAGGGGCCAGATTAACGTAGGGTCTGATTAATATAGGGGTCAGATTAACGTAGGGGTCAGATTAACGTAGGGGCCAGATTAATGTAGGACAGATTAACGTAGGGGACAGATTAATGTAGGGGACAATTAACATAAGAGCCAGATAAATGTAGGGCAGTTAATGTAGGGCAGGTTAATGTAGGGGCCAGATTAATGTAGGGGCAATACGGAATGAGTGTCCCGAGAAGGAATTTGGATTGAGGCCGAGTCTAAGTAGCAAAGCGCGTATGTATAGCATGAACTGTTTAGTAGTAAGTGGCTTACCTTGTAGGGACAACAGAGGCAAATCTGGATTTTTAATTTGCTGTTTTAGTATCAAATTATCCAGCACGTGAACTGGGCACCAATCTCCACTGGGGGGCCTGTTTGGTTTGTTTTGGTGCGGGGGATTGATAGAACGTAATGATCATTTACTTTGGTTAAGTTCTTTTGTTTAAGACAAATTTCAGTGTCAGATATTTTCTCTACTGAAAATTCTTTAGGTTTTAGGAATCCGAAAAAGGCTAGATAAGCTGCTGCCTTAATTACTCGGTTAGTGCTATTTTTAAAGGGATTTTTATCTAATAGCTTGGAGATTTTTTTAAAGATATTACTGTCTATGGGGAGTGTTTTGAGGGATTTTGGGTTTTTTTGCCTCTGGATACCTTTTAGTATATTTTTTATTGGGTATGTGGGCAAGAAAGGAGCCTTGTTCGGGCATAGGATTAGCATGAAATGTATCCCCGTCAAGTAAAGTTTGATGGTATTGTAGGCTGGTTTTAACGAGAGGTGGCAAAAAGTTGAAAATGCAACCATAGTTCTACAGAAAAATGGTTTATTATGTTAAAGTCACGCACAAACTTTTTAAACAAGTCAAATGCCCTATCGTACGCTTTTTTTAGTGTTTACTGATAAACCTGCCTGTGCAAGAATTCTACTGTGTGCTAGTAACTGGTTTAGTGCATGATTAGGTCTTTGAATTGCGGAGGAGATATGGGTTGCTTGTTCGCTGTAGGGTGCAGTTTGAAAAATTCCTGTAAATTAAAACGAGACAAAGCGTCAGCTGCGTTATTGAAGACACCAGGAACATGGATTCAACAAATATAAAACTGCAAATTTGCTGCTAACCATGTAAGTTTTCTTACAAGATTCATGATTGGCAGGGACTGAGAGCGGCCTTTGTAATTATGTTACATGCTGCTAAATTGTCAGAGTAACACTTAACTGCTTTCCCCCTCCAACTACTTCCCCAAATGTGACCTGCTGCCACTATTGGGAAGATCTCGAACAATGCTGAGGTTTTGTCAAATTTCTCTGGTGTAACTGTTTCGGGTGGCCAACTGTCATATACCCATTTGTCCCCAAATATTGCAGCGTACCAGACGGTAGCTGCTGCGTCTGTCCAGATAATCGGGGATTCATCAGAGATGGGGGGAATGAACAATGACCTACCATTCCATGAGG